TAAACAGATAATGAAGGTAATAATCTGATTAGCACATTTATAGAAAATGCCAATAAAAACCAGATGAGATAAACAAAATGATACAAAATATGAATGACAGTTTAGCAAAGAATTAGAGCCCAGGAAAGGCTCCAGGCAGAAATCTAAAAATGTTGAAAGTACAGCAAAAGTGACCACTAAGAGGCCAGATGTCAAACTAGAAGACAGGACTGCTGTCAGGGACCAGGTTTTCAGAGTTACCTTAAAAGCAAGAGAACATGAAAAATGAATCAAGATTTGCTAGAGAATGCAAAGAGAACTAATCTGAGATTCATTGAAATTAGCAAAACTTAGAAGACAACACAAATAGCATTAAAAAAACCTTTACAGAAATAATAGAAGACAACTTTCCAGTTACAGGGAATTGAACACACAGAGAAGTGAGGCATATAAAATCCCAAATAGTCATGACCGAAAAAGAACCTCTCAGTAACATTATAGTAAAAATCCCAAAAACCTAAACAGGGACAGAATCTAAAAAGCTGTTGCAGAAAGGAACAAATCAATTATAAAGGTAAACCCATTAGAATTACATAAACCTTAAAGACCAGGAGAGCATGGAATTACATGTTTCAAGTCCTAAAAGGAAAAAACTTCCAACCCAGATTAATATATCCTGCAAAATCGTCTTTTCAAAATTGATGGAGAAGTAAGGTATTTCCATGACGAGGAGCATTTTAAGAAATTTACGACCACAAATCCAACCCTCCAAAGAATTCTCAAGGATATCCTGGAGAGAGACGATGAAGCCGACAGTGCGAAAATATCTGTAGAATGAATACACCATGCAGGAGCAGCGGCTAAGCAAAAGGGGGAGAAATGAAATCAGCAAGAGGAAAACAATGTGATGACAGGAATTTCCTTTCAGTAATAACTCTAAGTATGCATGGTCTCAGTTCCCCAACCAAAAGACGAAGTCTGGCAGAATGAACCAAGAAACAAAGCCCAACAATATGTTGTATACAAGAAACACATTTTATTTTTAAAAAAGAAACCCTCACAGATTAAATATCAGAAGATCAGAAGCAATATTTCATGCAACTGGAACAACTCAAGAAGCAGCTATCCTATTTTCAAAGTGGACTTCAAGTTAAAATTGATCAGAAGAAATAAAGAAGGTCACAAGATTAAAGGAGCAATTTGACAGGAAAATACCAATTATAAACACATATGCACCAAACACGGACACACCTAACCTTATAAAATGAAGTCTGCTGGACGTAAAAGATCAGAGAAACATCAACACAGTTATAGCAGGGACCTCAATAGTCCACTGTCACATATACACAGGTCAATTAAACAAAAATTCAACAACAAGCATTAGGGTTAAGCAAAACCTTCAAACAAGTGAATTTAGTAAATATCTACAGAGCATTTGACTCAACATTAAAATACACATGCTTTTTGGCCACATGTGGTACTTTCTGCAAAATAGACTACATTACCCCATAAAGCATGTTTAAGTAAACGCAAAAGAATGAAAATTACCTTATGCTGCTATCAGATCATACAGCAACAAAGCTAGAAATCAATGGCAAAAGAAACAGGTGGAAATTAAATTTCTCTTGTTTTTTTTTTTTATCTTTTTGTCTTTTTCCTTTTTATTGGTACCAGGAATCAAACTCACGACTGCCTGCTTGCAAGGAAGGCACTTACACCACTGAGCTAAATCTCCAGCCCCTACAAACCCCTCTTGAATGGTCAACATGTCACAGAAGTAATCAAGGAAGAAATTAGACACTTCCTAGAACCAAATGACAATGCCAGTACCACATGCCAGAATCTATGGAACACAATAAAAGTGGTCCTACGAGAGAAATCTACAGCTATGAATTGATCTGATAGCAGTGTCAAATAGATGCTGACGGAGCAAGCCCAAATAAATAACCTAATCATGAAAAAAAAAACAAAGCTAGTACAAGGAACAGAATTATAAAGATTAGAGCAGAGATTAATGAAACTGAGACTAAAAAATACAAAGAATCAATGAATTGAAGACATGGTTCTTTGAAAGACAACTCCTTAGCCAATCTTAACACCTGCTGTCTTTGTTACTGTTCTCTTGTTGCTGAGACAAAATGAGAGAAGGAAAGGTTTATTTAGCTCACTGTTTGTGGAGGTTGCAGGCCATAATCAGTTGGCTCCAAGGCAGGGTGGCATAGCACCAGGGCAACACTTCAAGACAGCAGTCAGCAAAAGAAGCCCCAGCAATAGGGGAGAGCAAGCCCACCCCTGCCCCCAGGGCAGGTGTAGCTCTCACAAAATCTCTGTGCCCTCCCCTTGCACAGGATGAGGATATTTACAAAATAAGGATCCTGCCTCCCTATTGGATCGTTAAACTTCTCAAGTTGATACAATGTATCAACCATAACACCTGCTCCCCAAATAGGGAAAGAAAAGGACCAAATTAATGTAATTAGAAATGAAAAAGGCAAAATCACAATGGACACTGCTTAAATCCAGAAGATAATTAGTAACTATGTTGAGAATTTGTACTCTAATAAATTGGAGAAGTCAGAAGAGATGGAAATTCCTAGGTATATAAGAATTACTAAAACTGAACCAACAAGATACAAAAACTCTGAATAATCCAATATCAGATAGTGAAATTGAAACAGTAATAAAAAAAAAAGTCTACCACCTAGGAAAAGGCCAGGTCCCAGCGGATTCACTGCTGAGTTCTATAAAGTTATGGCAGATTCAACACTGGTACTCCTCAGCTCCTCAGTGAGATTGAAAGGGAAGGACTTCTCCCTTTCTGGAAGACACTGCTGGGAGCTAACATAATCCTGATTCCAAAACCTAGCATTATCCTGATTCCAACAGCAACAACAAAAAACAAAAACAAATAACAAAACAGATCCCTCCCTTTAATGAGCACTGTCAAAATGACCATATTTCCCAACTGATATGTAGATATAATGCAATCCCAATCAAAACACCAAAAGCAGGATTTCAGGGTTGAAAAAGAGGAACATGTTGAAAAGATAAAGGATAATGGGGAAATGAACTGAGGCCTTTCACCTGATGTCATTTTTAATATATTTATCTCTGAGGCAATTGGGGTTTACCATGGTAACATGGTGTGAGGTAAGGGTTCTGTTTTCCCACTGTCTAAGAAAGGTCCAATTTCTACTTACAAACTAGCCCCACTTTGCTTTAGAGTTTTCTGTTCAGTTTGTCTCCTGATCACGTGCCTTTATTTATTGAAACATTTTCTAGTCTTATTTTTATTGTGCTTTTTTCAGTCTTCATACATATTTTTTGAATGTTTTTCTAGTGCCACTAAATATTTATTTTTATTTTTTTAGTTGCAGTATTGAGGATTGAACCTACAACCTTTGCACTGAACTATATCCCAAACCCTTTTTTATTTTTGAGACAGGGTCTTTCTAAGTCACTAAGTTGATTGAACTGAGCTTTAACGTGTGATCCTCCTGCCTCAGCTCCCAGAGTGCTGGGGTTACATCTATGCATCACCTAAGCCCAGCTCCGTTAAAATTTAAAAAAGTTTTTGAGACGAGGTCTCATTTTGTAGTCCAGGCTGCCCTTGAACTCACCATGTAGTCTCAGTTGGCCTCAAACTCTTAGCAAATCTCCACCTTAGTCTGTGTGCTGCAATTATACGTAAGCACCATTATGCTTGGCTTCCCCTAAAATTTCAGAATTCACTTTTTTAGTTCCAAAACAAAACAACCAACTAAACAACAGCCACAATAAAACTCACTATTATGATTGCTTTAAGTGTATAAACTAATGTAGATAAAGTTGACAACTTTGTGATGCTAAATCACCTAGAAAAATATGGTATACTCTTTTATTTGCTTAAGATTTTCTTTTTAATTTTTACCAGTTTGTGATGTGTCTACATGTATAGTTCTTTGAATTACTCCACTTGGTGTCTGTTAAGCTTCTTGGGATAGGTAATTCAATAGTTTTTAGCACATTTGGGGAGATTTTAGTTATTATTTCTTTTCTTTCTTTCTTTTTTTTTTTTTTTTTTGGTCTTTTTCATTTTTATCAGTACCAGGGATCGAACTCACGACTGCCTGCTTGCAAGGCAGGCGCTTATGCCACTGAGCTAAATCCCCAGCCCAAGATTTTAGTTATTATTTCAACGATTTCTTACTCTTTATCCTTTTGGACACCCATTATACGTATGTTGGTATGCCTGGTGGTGTCCCACAGGCCTCTACGGCTCTGTGAATTTTGCTTCATTTTTTTTTATTGCCTCTCCAATTGGATACTCTCTCCTGACCTATCTTCAAACTTGCTAATTCTTTCTTCCAGTAGCTTACAGCTGCTAATGATTCCCTTTAGTGAAATTGTCATTTTAGTTACTGTACGTTCAACTCTGGAATTTCCATTTTGTTGTATTTTGCAATTTATATTTCTTTGTTGATAGAATTCTCTACATGGTGAGATATTGTTTTCACTCGGCACTTTAACATTTTACATACAGTCTTCTTTAGTTATTGACTATATTTGTAATAATTAAGTTAAAATTTTTTTGTCTGCTGAATTAGATACTTATGTGCTCTCAGGTACTTACCGTTGGTTCTTTATGTTATTGTGTATGTAGCATACCTTTCTGTTTTTTGCATAGCTTGTGAGTTTCTGCTAAAAACTGGACATTTCTGTAGCTGATTGTAACAATTTGGCATCCCTTGACAACCAGTCCCTTTAGACTGGTGTTATGGATTAAGAACCGGATGGTCAATTTAATGCCAGCTGGATTACATCAGCATAGCATTGAGCGAAGATGTTCCACCTGAGGAAAGTTGCCAGGATAAAGAGGTGGAGAAGAAGGGAGGTGTTGAGGGTTGAGGTGTTAAGGAGGCATTGTGGGTTTTCCTACGGGTTGTTGTCTGAGCTGTTGGTTCCCCTGGAAAGCTTTGGTCCTCACATCGAGCATTGCTTCCTGGCTCCCAAGGGGAAGACATGTGTTGCTTGGTTTCCAGGATGAACTCGTCACGCTGCTTCCTGGCACGTACCTAATTCTGCTTGTCATCAGAGAGCTTGGGGCCTCCATGTCGCTGAGGATGGCTGTGGTGCCTTCAGGACAGCACTGCTCTTTGTTGTGAGTGTGACTTCTCGGCTCCAGCGTAGAACCCTCATCCCACCAACACAGCCCTTTCACCCTGCTGGCATGGACTTTGTGGCTTCCACCGCTGACCCTTGGGTCTTCCCGGCACAGATCTGTAAAAGAGACTGGCGTGAGTCCTTCTCGTGGGCTCTGGATTTCCATTTGGACTCGTGGCAGGCATTGTCCTGAGCTCTGGGTTTTTATCTGGACTCATGTGGGACATTGCTGTGGGATTTAGGCTCTTGACTAAATAATCTATGTCTTTGGTGTTGCGGATAGATTTCCTGCATTTTCCTGTGTTAACTCCCGATGACCATTATAAAAATAATAGTATAAACCCGTGTTTTGATCCTAATTGTTCTCTGTGTACAATCCCTGACTACAACAACTGGTTATTAGTTGGTTTTATGTTATTTTTTTCCTGTTGCTGCTTATTAGTTTCATGACTTTCCTGGATTGAATCTATACCACTATATTCTCTACAGTGTACAGGCCTGAGTTCCCTGTTAGCATTTTTCTTTAAAAAGAAGTTCTTATTTTTATTTTTAAGCCTGGTTTCCCAGGGTTCACTTCCAGGTCAGTATAATTTAGTGGTCAGCCAGTGATTGGTTTGAAGTTTTCGCTAAATGCTTTGTCTGTGTGTCTTCTACTAGTGGCCAGAAGAATCTTCCCCTCCCTCCCAAGGGGATCCTATCTGAAGGCACATCTTCAAACTGCAGGTAGTTTATAAGACAACCTGAGGTTTTGCCTTCTCCTTGTATGTAAAAGGACTCAAGGTCAGCCAGAGTTGAACGAGTGTGATTAATGTCTTTCTAAGCGTGTCCGCACACAAAGCCTTCTAGATCTCCCGAAATATTGGAGCTGTTAAAAGTTCCATGCGGTTTGCTATTTCTCAAGGATTTTCTTTTAGAGTTGTATTGCTGTTGGCTGGCCTCTTGTTTGCTGTAACCAAAATCACAGCCTTAGGATCTGAGATATTGGCTGATGGCTGTTGGTTTTGGTGGTGCCTTGAGGATAATTTTGATTTCCTCGAGCTGAGCTGTGGGTCAAATAAAATAGCCACAGCCCGTTGGGAGTGCAGACTTTTCCTCAGGTAGCTGCTCATTCGGACAAGTTATTTACCTTGCTGTGGGGATGGTATTTTTGATACAGCTCCAAAAGAGGCCCTCCTCCATTAGCTTTGAGATGCCAGCTTTCATGGCTGCTGGGCCACCAAGTGACAAGGCCACAGGTCGTCCTGCCTTAACTGAAGTTCATATTTTCCCTTGGATAGATGATTTTCAGTTCACTCTGTGGCTGTGGACCGTTTCCAGATTTCTGAAGTGGTTCATGTTAGTTGTTTTGCCCATGTTTTGTTGTTAGCTCTCCACATTCCGGAAGCCAGTCTCCCTTGAAAGCATTTTCAGAGGGAAAAAGCTCAGTAAGAGGGAAACGAACTTTGGAGGAAGGATGGAGCATGGGAAGGACAGGCGGAAAGACGTCTGAAGAAGGGTATCGTTGTCGCCTGCACAAGGAAAGCCTCCTCCTGCAAAAACACGTTATTGAGAAAGAAAGCGATGACCTAGGAACACGGCTGGGAAGGGAATGAGGAACCTCGAGCCAGAGGAAAGACTGCAGAGGGACGGAATTTGTGTTAGGGAGCCTCTCCTGTTTATGGAGGCATTCAGATGATGTTAGGGTTGAGAAACGGACCAGGGAAAGAATAAACGTAAGTAACGATCATAAACAGAAGGGTTGATCATGAGACCAGAATAAACAAAACGTATTCATTTCTTTTTCTTCCTCTTTTTCCTTTTTCCATTCTTCTCTCTCTGTCTCTCTCTGTAGTAGTGGGGAACTGGACCAAAAACCTTATGCATGCTAAGCAAATACTCTCAGTTACATTCCCAGCCCCAAAGTATTATTTTTTAAAAAAAACAAAACAAAAAAACCAAACCAAGCAAACAAAAAAGTTGATCTACTCAATGCAAAGTAGAATATTCAAACTTTTCGATTAAAGGAGGAAAATTTTGAGCTATTCCAAAAAAGATAGAAAGCATCAGAAAGTACAGCAAGCACAGAACAGAAAATGAGGCAACAGAAATAAGAAGTCCTTAGGTAACATTAATTAATGTAAATGTAGATGAATTAAATTCACAAATCAAAAGTTAGTCTTTGGACAAACTAAACTTGATTACATATTTTTGTTGTTGTTTTTGTCTTTTTGAGACAAGGTCTCGCTATGTAGTTCAGGCTGATCTTGAGCTCACTTTGTAGCCCAGGCTGGTCTTGAACTCACAATGATTCTCCTGCCTCAGCCTCCAGAGTTCTGGGATTACAGGCATGTGCCATCATGCCCAGCAGCCATATATTGTTAACAAGACATTGTTTAAGCAAAACTCAAACATAAAATGTTAAAAAAAAATCCAGACACATAAAAAAATCTCCAGAGTATCAATTTTTAAAATCAGACCAAAAATTAATTTAGGGTTAAAAAAAAAAACATAAAGGGCCAAAAGAGATGGTATATACCAATTGTAAACAACAAATCCAAAGTAATCATAAACATATGTGTACCCAGCAATGCCGCAGTGTGGCCTCAAAGTGTATAAAACACTAACCAAGTAAAAGAAGGGGCACTGGTGTGTCCTGAAAGATCGTGTTCTTTCTTTCTTTCTTTCTTTTTTTTTTTTTTTTGTCTTTTTCCTTTTTATCGGTACCGGGGATCGAACTCATGACTGCCTGTTTGCCAGGCAGGCGCTTATGCCGCTGAGCTAAATCCCCAGCCCCAAGATTGTGTTATTTCTTAACATCGCTGCAGTGGCGGCCAATCTTACAACACATGAACGCTTGGTTGACGCACACCTATGTCCACACTGTAGAAGACAGGTCAGCTTAGCAAGACTGTGGCTCAAAACGTTTTTCAAAGTGTCTGAGGATGTAGCTCGGTGGTGCAATACTTGCCTAGTATGTGTGGGACCCTGGGTTCAAGCCTTGAACTGAGGGAAAGAAGAAATCCAAGAACAAAAATGTGAGTGTGTATCTCAGAAAGAAGAGGAAGAGGAAGAAGAATCAAAAAGTAAGCTGAAAACCAACCCAAACAATATTGTGAACTCACAGAAATGTGTAAAGATATGTCACATACAGAAAGCCCACCGCGGTGGAACATGCCTGTAATTCCAGGTGGCACTTCTGAGACCAGCCTGGGCAGCTTAGGACTCCTGCTGGTTTTGGGGTCCATGCTGCATGGAAGATTGTTTTCCACGCATTGCTTTTTAGTCTATGAATTTCTTTTTGTGTTGAATGTGTTTCTTTTATACAGCAAACCATTAGATTTTGTTTCTTGATCCATTCTGCTAATCTTTGTCTTTTGATTGGTGAGCTGAGTCCATTTACATGATAGTTGTATTAATGGGCATTGATTTATTTGTCATTGCATTAATTTCCTCTTGGGGTTTTGGCTTAGTTCCCTTCTACTTAATTAGCCATACCTGATATGTTCATTTTATTTAACATTTTGGCATCATTAGCCTCATTTTCTCCTTCTAGGATATTCTTGAGAACTTTCTGGAGAGTTGGTTTGGTGGTCATGGATTTCTTTAGGTTTTCTGTATCATGAAAGTATCTTATTTCTCCATCAATTTTGAAGGATAATTTTGCAGGATTTAACAGTCTAGCCTGAAAGTTTTTTCTCTAAAAGCTTGAAATACGTCATTCTATGCTTTTATGGCTTCGACGTTTTGTGTTAAGAACTCTTGTAATTCTGGTGGGTTTTCCTTTATAGGTGATTCAGTTCACTGCTTTTCTCTAACAGCCTTTAAGATTCTATTCTTGTGGGCTGGGGATTTAGCTCAGTGGCATAAGCACCTGCCAGGCAAGCGTGAGGTCATGAGTTTGATCCCTGGTACAAAAAAAAAAAAATCCTATTGCTGTGTTTCCAGTATTTAATTATTATGTGGTGGGGAGTATTTTGTTCTTTTCTGATCATGGCTATTCCGAGTTCTATATGCTTTCCTTATCTGTACATCACATTGTTTTTTCTGTGTCTGGAAATTTTTCTATTACTTGTATTTATGAGTAAAGGTTCCCTTTGTGCTGTCTTCCAATTTTTCACAAATTTCAGCTACTCTTGTGTTATCCTCTCTGGGTCACCCGGGAGCTGTTGGATCCGTTTTTCACGTTCTCCTGTTGTTTTCACGGTCTCTCTCATTAATTGATTGTTGACTTCAGCCCTGTCATCTGATCTAACACTCCATCACCATATTGGTTGCTTCTGTTATTAATATTTTCAGTTATGTTTTTAATATCCTGGACTTCTGTTTGAACATTTCTTATGGACTCCTTTTGTATTCTGGGCATTTGTTTAACATTTCTTCTTCTTCTTCTTCTTCTTCTTCTTCTTCTTCTTCTTCTTCTTCTTCTTCTTCTTCTCCTCCTCCTCCTCCTCCTCCTCCTCCTCCTCCTCCTCCTCCTTTCCTTCTCCTTCTCCTCCCCCTCCCCTCCTCCCCTCCCTCTCCCCCTCCCCTCCCCCTCCTCTCCCCCCACCTTTTTGAGACAGGGACGTGCTATGTAGTATGATGGCCTTGAACTCACTGTGATCGTCCTACCTTAGCCGCCCCAGTGCTGGGATTACAGGCCTGCACCTCCACACTGGGCTGAGTCCCTTAATTTAGCTGTGCTACTTGTTCATCAGTATCTTTTCTAGGCTCACTGATCATTTGTTTCATTAGGGTCATTATCTGATTAGTTAAATCCTCTTTAAATTCGCCAAATACCTTCTTAAACTGTTTTGCTTTCACTGGTACCCTTCACACGTTTCTGCGATGTAGGTTGTGCTTTCTTTCCCCTCAGTGCCCTTGAACCAGTTTTGGGGGAATTAGGAGGGATTGTTTGGAGACATTTTGTTGCCTTGTTTTCCCATATTTCTGGTGTGTGTGGGGGTATGCTGGTAGTTTGCAAATTCTTCGGTCCTGTGCCCCATTCTTTGGGAGTAAGCCACGGAATTGTTTACCACCCCTTAACCCCAGGCAAACCAGATACTGGCAGACAAAGAAAACCAACTGCCAACCACTACTAGTCACCTGGCTATCTAGCAACAACAGTGGTGTCAAATTTCTAGGAATCACTGGAGAATAGCCCTTAACCAAAACAAAAAGAACTGTCACTAAGTTAAGATAGGCCGCCCTCATGCTGACTGGCAGTTTCTGCTGTATGTAGGCATCGCTGCCAGACGGCAAACGTACTGCTAGACTTCTTACTGAGGACTCTGATGACTGCTCCCGCTGAACCTGGCCTCGGGCAGCAGAATTCAGGCCCCAGAATCCTCCGAGTCTGGGCCTGGGCTTCCCAGGGTATCCC